CGGCTGATCCTTCCGCAACTGCCGCTGCTAAAGCCCCCTCCGTAGCTGCTCCTGGAACCTCCTCCACCATAGCTTCTCCCAGAAAAGCCTCCGCTTCCTCCAGAAGAGGTGTATTTTCTAGTGGACACTGAGGAGTATCCACCAGACTTACGTATTCCGCAGCTGCTACCCCCTCCACCACCTCCACCACTGTATCCTCCACCACCACCACCACCACCACCACTGCTAATTCTAATAGTACTGCTCGAAGATTTAGTGCCACAGCTCATAGTGACAGCAGGTGAGAGTCTAACCACAATCCCAAATTTAGGTGCACAGCCTGATAAGATTCAAGACTGCAAATTTTCATCCCCAGCTCTCTCTATTTATACTTTTGACAGTGGGTGTCACCACCAGGGTGTTTCCTTCTCCCAGGGCATTTACCAACCTTGTTGTTTGTGCCAAGAATAATTTGCTGAACAATATTTTTGTGCTGATATCTCAGCCAATCTGACCCACTGCTGGGTTTGTGCTGTTTGTTTAAGACCAAATATCTCACTTCTTTTGGGTGGCATTCTTTTCATTTAGCCTTTTCTGGACGAGGTACCCCTTTGACCCCATGCGACGTGGACCTGCTTTAGGATGGCAAAGGCACTTTCTCCAGGGCCCTGTTGAAGCTAATGCTGAGATAATGTGTTCCTGAGGGAACTGTGGAGAGAGAAGCTTCTTTGCAGTTCTTCCCTAAAAGAAAGAAGATGAGGCAAATCCCTCCTATTAGACCATTTATTTTTTCGATTATTAATCTACTTTCTTTGCTAAGATTTTTGGAGCTGCTGTTGTCAAAGGCTGTTGTTCTCTTTCACTCTTTCATATTTTGTGCACTTAAGATCTTCTACACTGTTTATATTCTTTCTCTCACTGCACATGATAGTGCAAGAGTTCTATTGATAGGACTGTACAGTGTGTTTCCACTGTCTGACTTGGGTGTCCCTGCCGTCACCCAAAGAACACATTTATTCATCTGGGAAGTCTATTTCAAGCAATGCAGTGGGAGTCTTATTTAAAAATCAAAATCCTTCCTTTGTGAAGAAAGTGGTAATACAGCACACCAGATAGCTAAGTCCTAGAAATCAAAAAGAAACAAAATATTGGATTTTTTTCACCAAAGAGCTGTTGATTTAAAATAGTAGAAAGACTAAAGATACTTTAATTGTATTTAAAAGCGAATTGGAGCACAATTAGAAGCTGCATTGATGCAGACAATGACCTATAAACGGCTGTGTGGGAAGACCTTTTATGTTATAATATTAAATTGCTCATTCTCTCTATTGTTAGCGT